ACGGATACAAGAAAGTTGTTACAAATCGACCAAAACATCTTAAAGAAATTTTACATATGCAACATAAAGATCGAGACGTGCACGTCGTTGATAAGGTCTTTAGCTGATTAAAATTCGCCTAACTTATGATTTGCAGATTAAAAAAATTCCCGCACATGAAATGATCAATTTGATATTGTTACTGCTCATGATAACTACAGGGTGTGGAGTGTATGCTTTAAGTTTGCCCTGCGTGATTTTAATCTTAACCGTTTAATATGCGATTCTGCAAATACGTCTTCATTTGATATGCATCTGAAAGCGTAATGGACCTTCAAGGTTTGCCTATTGTGTAGCCATACACTAGATATCTCGTTTTTATGACCTGTTGATTCTTTCTAATGGGATTTTCATTGCTCCAAATTAAATCTGTCTGTGGCTACGTTATCAAATCGAAATCCTATGCGCACGGTTTTACATTTATCTAAGTTGCCGTATATCTACTTCTGATCAACCCTAATCTTCTTCTCCAGATGCTAATCTTCAGGCGATCATTCTTTCGCCTTTAACTAGAGTCCAAATTAGCTATTTAGTTATGGCTGTTCTTCGTCGCATACATCGACAGTTTCCTTTAAAGTGTAGCTGTACGACATACTGTGGCTCTAAGCATTCGTAATGTAAATGTATCCTGTTCTAGATGTGGTATAGTAGAAAAGTAAATTTTGATGTTACGAATTTAGCGCATCGACACAACAATACCTCCGAGCAAATGTATTATGTGGGACTGTTTCGTTAGGTAAAAAAACCAGGTCGCGGATCCCCCTTCGGATCCAGTAACAGATTTTTCTTAAACGATTCCCTGCAATCAATTTTACACAAGCCTACCTGATCTCAGCAGCTTCTAAACGTTTCACCTCCTGTGACTTCACACAAAAACGATGGGAGACGACGCTTTACGCAACTTTACAGGTCACCGGGTGCAGTGAAGGCTCTAATAGAATATTAGCGTACACTCGTTTGGGTCATACCGGCTAGTCATTTCGTTAAGTTTTTCAAACGGCGACTTCTCCCAAATCTCACCGAATTTTTATGCCTCGTCGTCGACGAGGGACAAGAAGGTTCCTATAAGCTGAGGCTTTCCGGCTCGTCCTCGATGAGACTATTTAAGTTGCTGGTGGCGGGTGTGTCCATATTCGGTTCTTTTTTGACTTCTTAGCGCCACCAGTCGAGACTTCTACACGCTATGACTCGCTATTCTTGACGGGCAAGTATAATCTAGCCCGTGCAGGGACGTATCGATAAGGAGTAGGTTTGTCTTAGACCAAGAAAACCTGCTTCCAATTGATTTGTCTCGTTTGATGTATCGTCACGCCATTTGACTGGCTCTCTGTCCTTCTACTAGCTCATGACACATGCATTGGATGAAACGGACGATCGATCTTTCTGCACTCTGCAATACAAAAGCCTGTTCGACGACACCTATTCGCCGACACAGCTTTCGCCGACAATTGGTCTCATAAACTCTTATTCTCGACACCCAGTTGGCCGACACCAGATTCCGGCAGTTGACTAATATAAAAAATCTCACGAAATTTGCCGCCTTGGACTGTTTTGCCGACACCGGTTTATCCGACAGTCAACAATATAGAAATAGTTCTTACAGAATTTCCTACACCAAAAAGACTATCACTATAATCCTCAATATTACTTTACACGATCAAACGATACTAATTGTTTATTGTGCGTACACATGAGGAATTAGCGTCAAACATAGTGAAATCTTATGGATATTATTTGAACCGATATCCGCAAATTTAAGCCATCGCAACATCACTATAATAATAAGCTTTTCATCCGTGTCCAGTGAATAATTTACGTCCAACTTGTCTCCTTATAACATGCAGATATTCATACAACACGTCTTTTGCAATTTTGCAACTAGTCAAGCCATCGACCTCGTACGTGGGTGTCATCCTCATCATACTCAAGTCAAAAATATCTTGTCAACTGGTAAAGTATAATGTTGATCGACGATCCGCGCTCCGCTAGGGGTCAAAGCGACATAAATAAACGTTCTCACACTATGATATACCAGTAAAGTTACATTGAGACGAAATTGTCGCACGTACCAATACATATATATCGCCTATCAAGTCGACAAGTTGGAAGGTTACGTCGGTATTCCATGTCATCCTGACGCAATTTGGCCTTAAGTTCCGATTTTGTTCTCTCGTGAAACATATTCTAGCGATCCATACCTTTATATCATGTACTAAGCATCTTCAATTACGCACTCTTATTTGAACTGACAATGAAAAATTGACGTCGACACTTTCTCGCTTTCACAGTTCGCCAATGCAATCTACGCTGACTGGAATATGTACGGTATCCCGGCTAAATTAACCAGCTCGTCGATCGACGAGACTAGAAAGGTACCGTCTACTGGTCTAATCGGTTCGTCTCTTGTATAGACTTCGAGGTGGCGTTTATAAAATCACCGACTCGTTATTCGGCGATATTATACGCTTGCTATTAGGGTCAGCAAACGTTGAGTCGGGGCGACGTTAGGCTTAGGCACTACCAACCAAAATTATTCTAAGTTGTGCCTCTCAAGATTCTACAGCATGCATATCGATCCCATGCCGGCACTTAATCAGAAAGTGTATGCGGGATTTAAACCTTACACATTTATTTCTTCATTGATTATAATTGTCTTTCTGCGAACGCCAGATCGTGTGACTTTCGAGATCTCTTAAGCATCCTAAGCGCGTTCATGCTACTTCCAGTTTGATTGGTGAACGATCTTTCTACGCTTGATGACGACATGTGGCTGACTTAGGCTCGCTGAGTTAGTCTCACCTACTTCGACTAGCTGAATTCAACTTGCTGACTATGACATAATGGTTTTTAGAGTTTCAACTAATGACTTTCCTTAACTTACTGAACAACGTTGATTTTTAAGGGTAAAAAGAATTTTTTTTTCAAGAGGTGCAGAAGCGAGCAGTATTTAGTTGATTCGAACATTTATAAAAATAGAAGGTGTGATGTTCGTAACTATACAATATATGTTAATACGTTCTCCTCTGATTATTAATACCTCTAGTGACTATCCAATGTTTGGTGCGACACCAGATCAGCATCTCTGGTCGTTCTTCGATACAGGTACATTGCATCTCTTAGCGCTACGAGTCACTGGGCGTGTACACTATGCTTTTGATCGCAGTGTACTATCTCCTGTAAGCGATGTGGCGTTTGCAATTGCTACTTTTCACAAGAGCGGACTTTTTGACCTCACACTATATCATAGTATCTGGTCTCGAGGCCTTGAATTTTCCGTTACCTGCGCACACGATACGATGCATAGTTAAGTTCTGCATACCTTAATCAAAAGTCCTTATGTTTTACTACAGATAACCATTCATAACGCATCTATCCTTTCAGGAATAAAGCTGTGTCTTCGCGAGACCATTTACAAGACCCTTATGAACACGGCAATCCGTGTCGTTTCATCAGTGATTTTACACAAGATACAACGTATGGGATATCGTTTGTGCAAGTATTCAGCGCGTAAATAGCGTCTTCCTCTTCGTTAAGTCCAGGAGGTCGGGTCGAGCACTGATTTCGGCTCGTGGCGGCGCAAACTCTTGTCTTTCTCGCGCCTTCAAAAATTGATACGATCTAAAATTACATGGAACATGACGATCACCCCAACGTACGTGATTCTTGCCAGGTAAAACTAGCCGAATTTGTCTTCATCCCATCTACTTCGATGCGGCGAGCTCTGCATTGAAGAGTCCTGTTGATTTTAACAGGGTAGTCTGGGGCCCCACATACATAACATAATTTGTATATGTCAGCTTTCAAGCTCTCGGATCGGCACACGTGCGGTGGCCGCCATCAGAAGCATTTGATGGCTGTAATAATAAAAGCATAATACTGCGAGAATTGCAATGGAAGCATGGTGCCATTTTCCTCAGTCGCATTAAATTCGTGTTGTATGTGCTTACATGGGTCACATGCTTCGTCTCTCTTCAGGGCAAGCTTCATGGCACTCTAGGCATTACCATCGACGATTGGGTCCGTTTGTTCTAACGCCTGTCATTCGACATCAATCCGGTAGTCGGAGCCTTCTCGCGTGGTGTAAATGCCACTTCTGTGCATCTTGTAACATTCCATACTTTACGAATGGACGATAATGTGCAACCAAGTACAAAATAATTCTTCAAGCTTATACTGATGACTGCTTTAAGGAACCTATGGAGTCGTCTGCGTAGGTTGGTTCGGTAAAACATCGTCTTCTCTTTACGTGAAAAGGAAGCGTTTATAGGTTGACTAAACAAGCTTCGCTGAATCATTGCATTTGCTATCATGAAGTAGTAATACAAAATAGGTTTTATAAACACATACCATTAACTACAACTACACTCGATAATTTTGAGCACATCCTGCGTGCGTCTAGCACTAATATACGCTTTTCTGGCTGCCACCATGGCTCCTACCCTTCAAAGAGCTGTGTGTTGTAAGGAATTGCTAAACGGGACCTTCCAAGATGAGATTCAAATTTACTTGCTATGATGTTCATATGATTATATCCGGCTTAACTAAGATACACATCGACAGCTAAACCTTTGCCAGTATCGTCTCACAGGGTCACCAAGTTACAGAACCGCTTCAGTGGCGCGAAATGTCTCTCGAAAACATTGTAGATTCACAGTTTGCTACATTCGTTGTCTTAGCTACCCTCATCACATCGAACAAAGCGTTTTATTGTCACACCCTATAAAGTAAGCTTCCTCATAATCTACGATGGTCATAGTTCTTGTAGAAAGAATGCTGTTGACAACAGCATGTGCAAAGAAGAAGCGCGCGTTACGAAACGATTACCGACAAAGACGGACCTCTATCATGATCTATTCGCGGACCGACCGAAATACGGGCCAATCGCTGATCCCGAGCGCTAACAGACGCAGCTTTATCCTATTATCTCGATCCCAAATTACCCACTTGACGATCGTAGCCGCATGCAGCCGAATAGCGCTATCAGTCATCATGGGCGCCAGACGCTCGAGTCGCTGTACCCACAGGCCCGGAAGCTCCAATTTGAGCTCAAGATGCAGATGAGCTACTTGGATACTGGTCGCACGGGCGGCGCGACGAACGAGGGACTGCAGGCCGAAGCCCGTGCGAATTTGAGCACATTAGAGCAGCTCCAGTGGCAATTGGACTCGCTGCTGCAGCAAAGCCGCGACGCTGCGGCAATCGACACGTGGACAAAGAAGCTGCAGCAGCTGCGGAGCGAGACGCGGGCACTGGGCAGCACTTTGGAGCAACAGGTCTATAGCAGCAGTCGACGGGCGATGGAGGCGCGCGAGCGGGAGAGTCTCATGAACAGACGCAATGGCGTAAGCGGTGAAACAGAGCGCGTGCTTTCGAAGAGTTCAAATCTGCTGCATGAGACTGACATTGTGCTGCTGTTTATTATGGTCTCTTGACAGGGCTTTGATAGTGGCAATGGCGCGCTCTACGCGGCGCAAGAGTCGGAGAGTTTGCAGCGATCGTCGCAAATGGTCTCGGACTTGACGAGTCTATCGCAGTCGATCTTAGGCGATCTCAGCGAGCAACGCAGTCGACTCAAGGTCTCATTTGCTGTGTTGCGAGTGCTACGGCTGTGACTGCAGTGGCGTGGACTAACAGTTGCTCATGTGCCTGTGTGTGGTGCAGAACGTCCGCACGAAGCTGCTGGATGTTGCAAATTGGTTGGGTCTCTCGAGCTCGCTCTTGCGCGTGATTGAGCGACGCGACACGGTGGACTTTTGGATCGTCATCGGCGGCATGTTCGTGACACTCGCGTTCTTCTTTCTGTGCTATACGTACGCCACCTCAACCTAAAAAATGACAATCGACCCAAAGCACATACACACAGTCGTCGCTCAAGTACATGAACATGTCGTGAACAGTCAGTCAGTCGTCGCTCGAGACCGCGCAGTTACACGACTCTATTTTATCGGACGATATCACAAAGTAGACTTTGCCACTTGCAAGAAGAAATAAAAACTCAGAGACGCTAACTCTAACGTGGCAACACCATACACAAACCAACTCCCCATGTTTTCAACCAATCGCTGCGTCTCTGCATCTCCCCACGCGCCGATCACCTCGAGGCATGACGCGCTCCCGCAGTCCGCGGCGCTCGCGCAGTGTGCACCGATCTTCACACCGCCGCTCGTCCACGAAGCGCCGCTCGAGTCGTAGCCGCAGTCGCGACCGCTCGCGCCGCAGCAGTCGCAGGCATCACCATCGCCGCTCGCGCTCTACGGACCGCCACAAGCGCCGCCGACGGGACAGCGACCGCAGACGATCCCGTCGACGGTCCCGGTCTAAGTCCGATTCTGATTCGCCGAAAAGGCGGTCACGGACGCGTCGAAATCAGCCAATGGATGAGGTCCCAGCGGCGACAATGGCCAATACCGAGCGAGCTGCGGCTGTTGTGAACAGGCAGAAACGGGCGAAGGGATCAGATAGCGTCAAGCACGAGGTGGACATGTCGCACATGCCAAAAGGTGTGGATCAGGAGAAGAAAGTTGTGGAGAAGCTGTGTGCTGCAGACGGACGAGAGACAGACGATGCTGTGCGTGCTGTGGCACTGAGCGAGACAGCAGAGACAAAAGTCGACGAGAGGTGTCAAGTGAGTGCTGCAAAATCAGCAGTAGACGTTCATTCGATCAAGGAAAACGTGCTAAAAGCGCTAGCAGATGCACGGAGCACGATTGCAGGCATGAAGAAAAGCGGGACACGAGATGGCTGTTGTGCGGTGACAAGCGCAGAGACGCCAGCGCTAGTATCGGTTGTGAAAGAAGACGGACAAGAGCTCGAAGGAGGTGCACAGAAGGACCGAGCAGCAGGGGGGGTCGTGTCGTCAGAGATGACGTCTCTGTCGCTGCGAAGGCCATCTGATGCAGCAGAAGATACGAGTGCAGACGAGTTTGATATGTTTTCAATGGCGGCCCTCGACGATCAAGAAGACGCAATGGACGGCCAAAACGTTGTGACTGCCGTCTCGGTGAATGAAGTGTCGCTACAGTCAAATTGCGACGATGCTGAGGGGTATTACTCTACCACTATAGGAGAAGTGCTGAATGGCAAGTACCGCGTGCTTGGAGCTGTCGGAAAAGGAGTATTCTCTACGGTGCTACGCTGTCAGTGCATCACTCCTTTGCAGACTACAGGTGGTGAAGCGCTGAGCGTCGTAGCCATCAAGGTCATCCGGAACAATGACGTCATGCGTGACGCCGCGCATATGGAGCTGAAGCTACTGAAAGAGTTGGGCGAACGCGATCCACGAGACAAGAAGCATTGCATCCGGCTGCTGGATTCGTTTTCTCACCGCAATCACGTCGCGATGGTCTTTGAACCGATGCAAATGAACGTCCGCGAGGCCATGAAGAAGTTTGGCGGAAAAGGCGGCATTTCGATCCAAGCCGTGCGCGTGTTTGGTAAGCACCTGTTAGTCGCGCTCAATCACTTAGAATCGTGCGGAGTGATACATGCTGGTACGTATGGAGAGTGCAGTTACACAAGACGATGTCAATGGCCTACTGCTGATTGCTTTGCTATGCATCTTGTGCTCGTAGATATCAAGCCGGACAACATACTGCTCAATGAGAAGCAGACGACGGTCAAGCTTTGCGATTTTGGATCGGCTTTTCGATCCGACGATGGGAAGCAAGATCCGACACCGTATTTGGTCAGTCGCTTCTACCGCGCGCCTGAGATTGTGCTGGGCCTTGCTTACAACAAAGCGGTAGATATGTGGTCTGTCGGTTGTTGTTTATACGAGATGTTCACTGGCAAAGTTGTGTTTCCAGGGAGCACGAATAACGAGATGCTCAAACTTTTTATGGAGCTCAAGGGCAAGATTCCGAACAAACTGATCAAGAAGCATCGCCAGGCATACATTGACCAGTTTTTGATGGAGCCACACTTTACAGAAGACCTCAAGTTCTGCAGTCGAGAGAGCGATCAAGTCACAGGTCAGCAAACGCGTTCCAATCTGTCTATATTGCCCTCACTCGTCGCATACACTACTAATGATCGATTCTGTCGTGCTGCACTGTCTTCAGGTAAGCCTATTTTGCGTTTACTGGGGACCTTCAAGACCAAGGTCGACCTAGCTGGTAGCTTGCTGGGCGCAAAAAGTGCTTCGGACGACCGAAAGCTGGTGCTTGAGCTTCGGGACTTGCTGGACCGGATGTTCACGCTCGATGCGTCAAAGCGCATCTCGGTCAAGGACGCGCTGGCGCACCCGTTTGTGAAGGGATGAAGAATCAGTAACCGCGGTGATCGTTGCTGTTTGAGTCACACCGGCCGCCACCTCTTTCTGCGAACGCTCGGTTGCGGACATACACGGCAAGCTGTGCTCGCGAAGGATTAATCGTTTCCTGCTTTGACTACTAGTGACAGGTACCGTTTGAGGGTAGGGACACTGAAATGAACGCGAGATGGAAACTGGATGAATTGACCGAATTTCATCTACACAACACTTTGACCAAAAGACATACATCAAAATGCATGGACCAAATTGAATTTGCAGTTGACTGTCACCCACGTGACCCGAAAACGTTCTGGAGGCCCGAACAAGCGTACCTTGCTGTACAGGAATCGGCTGGGCCCAATGAGCATGCATGCTTCCCACACAAACACTGCATTGATCAAGCGCGCCCGCGAAGTATGCAAAAGCTCATGCAGAATAAACATTACCGATGTTCATGCATAAATACTGAGCGATAAAAAGCTGCAGGTTCGGTACTTGGGTCTAATGGTCCGTTTTTGGCTCCGTGATGGCAAGATACGCTTTGCGTCGGGACCAAGTCTAACAAGGCATCGATGTCTTACATTTGTAATAGTCATGAGCGCTATTGTCTACAGTCATGATATAAGTAGAAAACCTGTTGCATATCCGCTTATATTCCTTCAGTATTGCGAACCAACCCTGCTACGAATTTGGAGGGCAAGGCACCACGGCAACTTATAAGCGGCGTAAATCTATCCTTGATGTGCTATAAACAACGACCTAATGCGGCACGAGTCGTGTATCGTACACAAGTTATGGCTACTTGTGCAGGAGTATATCGTGGAAGGCAAAGTGCAGATAAGGCTGAGTCAATGATTGGGACGTCTTCAATAGGATGTACGTAAACAATATACCATAAATATAATGCAAATGAGTTCTTGGCATTATTTTGTCCGGACAATCATCTGCGAACTGCTTGAGCCGACCTGGTCATGTCGTATATGTACGCACGCATTGTTTGAAAATTCAATGTGGTATGGACGAACATTATCAAATTTGGCTCGACTGACTTTTGACCTTGTTCAGCGCGATCCCTTTCGGCCAAACGTCAATCTTGACACGTTTGGCAACCTTTTTAAACCAATACGAACACGAAGAGTCTAAAGTCACGCTACTCCTCCGCAGGCTTGCGTCATATGAAGGTATGATCGCAAGAACGCCATGAACTTGCAATACCAAAGACTCTGATAAATCGAGATGTTTCCTCGAATCCATTATAGCGACCTTTACGAGAAAGCCGAGCTTCGGCGCAATTTACATCTGCAGTAAGTGGCGCCATTATATTTTCTAGCTCTTTGTGGTACTGCGCGAAAGGTCATACCTAAATTCATAGGAATTTGTGACCTGATTTATGCTACCTAACCTGATATTCATGTAAAACTCAGTCTTACGTCAACGTTATCACTCGAAGCTCATGAAGAGTACAATGCCGCCAATTTGTCTTGCCTGAGATGTCGTGAGAAACGTGCGTTTGACCGCGGCCCTTTTTCCGTCGTGAAATTTGGCAGAAGCCCTTACATAGCGTTCTTGTAATGACTGCCGAGAAGGCGCTGTAATAAAATATTCAAAAAGGCTATTAGCCAAAAGAGCTTCTTGTTCCGTGCGAAGCTGCAGTCAGTACTTTTTATGGCTCCCAGATGCACTAATGCTTCAAGTCGGTGAAGCAATAATCGTGACTTGATGCACGAAAGGTACGTACGGCGCGGCAAAAGTACACAATTGAATAAAAGTCCCCTGATAAAAGATATCCATGCAGCACTTGCTCTCAAGCCTGTTCGCTATTTCAGAATCGCTGTCACATGGCAGTTCATCTACTCATCTCTGCTTTTTAGTAGAAGTGTCGCATCGTACTTTACATGTCCTCTGACGGAACATCTGTCAAAAAGATTAAATTAGTAAAGAAAACCACAAAGTGAGAGTCTCCCGGTAGGCAAAGCTGAGGAGGGTCAGTAATGTGCAAATTACTTGCCATAGCACCGCCCACTAAACAACAATCGACAAGATCTAGGACATGGAAGACGTGGCATCTGATTGTCATATCGTCGCGCATCCGCTATCGCCTCTATTGTTTGTCGAGTTCCGCTGCTGCAACTGTGGACGAAGTCAGACTGCGCTTGTCCTGTCGATCTCATAGAGAAGACATGAGTAAATCGGATAAGCTTAGTAAGAATTTCTGACTTGATGAACCGCTGCAGACCACCATACATATATATTCAGTGCATAGGGCAGTTATGGTGATGTGATGTAATAGGATATAGATCAATTTGGTCATAGCAGCAAAGTCACCATACTAAGCGATCGGTAGATTGATCGAATAAGAGCTAGGGGTCATTCGCCTCACATCCGTTACATTAAATTATAGCGTGAAAGTAAAAGGCGAACCAAGTCGTTCGTATAAACATCCCAGGGAAAGTGGAAGCGTCCAAACGTTCGACCGTCTAATACGTTCAATTCAGCCATTGGGTGCACATCAGGATTCGATCATATGATGACAAAAATGATCAAGCGGCATCTTCAATTATGACAAAATGAATCTGGATGGAAAGGATTATAGTTCGACAAGCTATGACTTTCGGTGGTCATGAGAATGGAATACAATGATGACGTGATCGCTCGATAATGGCGCAGATTGATACGAAGCGATGGGGATTCGGATAGACCCGCGCGATAGATGTATAACGGATAATAATATTGATTTAGTATTTAAACTTCTCCAGACATAAAAAAGGAGTAGTCATGGTCTTAGAAATTAACGAACGTTTTCATCGGGTATTTACTCAGACAGTAGGTATGGCTACATCTGATTGTTTATGAAAGAGCAGGTTCTGGATTGGTATGCGATCTAAGAACGATGGTATGGTAATACAATCTCGTATCGTTTGATCTATGTTGCGATCTTAATCATTTCTACGTTCCAAGTGCCTCACTAGTGCATTCTTGTAGACGTTATTCGGATTCACGGTATGGTTTGAGTACATTGATAGCACAAGTCAAATAATCAATGTGATGTACTCAAAGGACAATAATGGGTTCTATCATTGTATCTTTGCGTTTGGGTTTCCATACAGAGTTCGATCTTCTTGGTGGTAACTCTTATAAATAGCTACCTCTTTCAGGCTAGAGCTTCGAACTACCAATGACCCAGTTCCTGCGTGTCGGAAGACCTCAGCACAACATTGACACTGAGTGCTGGGCTAGGGGTACCAGAACTCTTCGATAGAAAAAATGCTAGTGGAAGCAGAAAATGCAGTACACAAACTAGACATACTTCAGACCACGGGACATAGAAGTTATTGCTAGGTCATCTCATATCATTGATAGACGGGATCAATGAAGATTCAGTGTTGACAAGGTGGGACATATACATGCGAGGCAGATCGCGATTCCCGTACAGTTCAATGGTGCAATGTTATCAGCGTTCCATCACAATGATCACCGATTCGTGTAGAACCTCGTTATATATATATATATATATATATATATATATTTTCTGTGCGACGTTTAAGAACCCAATCCATTGCTACTAACAACCATTTTTTGCCAAAGGAGCTACAGTCAGATCGGTCGAAGGACGTATAGCTTTAGCGCAACTCACCAATAGACAACATAGATCGACGCATCCTTTCGCCGTCGTCAAGTCTGGTCAATATGATACGTGCTTGACCGACTCATCGTTCATGTGGTAAGATTCGGCAGCGTCGTTAAGTGTGGTACACATTCTAGACAGAAGTATTCTTCACGCATGTATGCTTCGGCCCGTGAACAGTAGCAGCTTTTTCATGCTGTAGCAAAAGCTGAACTTTACAGCACCCTTATTTTTTGAAGAATTTGCAATCGTATAATCTTGATGGTGAAAATTAGGTAGTCTACTCTCAGCCGCGGCAAGTTCATGCATAAACATATACGCAACAGTAGGATGCGGTTCGTCCCTTTAATGGCGACAAGTATGGTACAGACAGTTAGGTCACGCCGTAACTTCACGCGTGGCGTGAAATTTGATCTTTTACCACCCTGTCCATGGCGATGAAGGGTTATTACCAGACGTACCACGAAGCACTATTCGGCCTATCGGAATAGTAATGATAAAATGAAAATTATCGGAACATTATTATCTCGAAGACTTACGCTCACTGCGGGCATAGAGCGAAACCGGGGCAAAAAAACCAAGGAATCGCTTAAAAGAAATATCACAACTGCTATAAACTATCACTAAAATAATATATAAATAATTTCCAGAATTACCTTCTACAATCTTCGACAATGACAATGTATGCGGACTCTTTGTCCAACGCTCAATGCGCTGGCTTGTAAATTATGTCCGCGTAGCGATATTCCATCGACAATACAAGACTATGCCTATCCAAGACCCATGAATTGTATAAAATACAACTGACCTGATAAGTCAGCATTATGCCCGGCCGACGCAAGTGCTGCGATCTGCAAACGGCATATCATCTTAGTGTCTCTGATTAACGCGCCGATCAGTTGTCAGCTAAACAACAAGGTATGTGAGATAGAATGATGCAGAGGTCGCGGGATGACTTCGCATTCTCTGATTTGAAATCAACGGCCGATATCAATATGCGGTGCACCTTTCCACAACAGCGACATCCAGATCACACGCATGTACGTGGTGTGTGAAATTGGTATGAGGTTTTTTTCCTTCTGATCATCTCGAACGATTTGCAGCCAGACGCCGAGTGCTGTAATTGTAATCGATTGGTATGTCTACATGCGCAATCGATAGAAAGTGTCGACGCATGAAAAGCGATCATGAGTGCTGTTCATTTGCACAAAGAGAAAGGATACACGCGACGGGGTTGTGAGCGTCGGGTTTGAGAGTACGAGTTTATATTTACGGCGAAAAGGGGTGTGAGTATATCCGTTTTCGTATGTAATTGGCCATATTATTAAATGGGCCCACTCCGTGACATGTAACACCACCACAACCGTCACCACATAGCATACTG